TTACCTATCCTGGGCTCTATTTTCAAGAGGTGATTAGATAGATAATTTATTGCAAACTTAATTTTATGGAGGAGGGGAAAGGTGGTAAAAGAATATTTATACTGTTAAACTTTTCATTCAGACTGTTATTGTTCTTTTATTTTGTTTTCAAATGGGAGGAAAAGCCCATTTTATGTTAACATTTTTTTCCTTGATGTTGTTTTACATGTAGGACGTGTTGGAACACCTCATTTTATGGCTCCAGAAGTTGTCAAAAGAGAGCCTTATGGAAAACCTGTAGATGTCTGGGGTTGTGGCGTGATCCTTTTTATCCTGCTAAGTGGTTGTTTGCCTTTTTATGGAACCAAGGAAAGATTGTTTGAAGGCATTATTAAAGGGAAATATAAGGTAACATATTATGAATGTTTTTACTTTTTCCATTGAGATTAAATTATTCAGAAAAATGTTATTTGAAAGGTCTGTCTTTGGATTGCTTATTGATTATCACATAGTTACCAAGTCAGAGAAAAGTTCTTTGCTTACATCATTGGCCTTGGTAGGCAGCATAAGCCTTAAGTAATTTGGAGTTGCTCTCAGCTAAACTATCATCTAGCGGGGAGAGAGGGGACTGGCTTTAAAGAAACCATTGACGTGCCCCTCCCTCCCTTCTTTCCCCTGTGCTGCAGCTAAAGTTATCCTCTGTGTTCAGGCTAGAAAAAGGGACCCTAATACTCTTTGATACGGTGTAAAAACCAGAGACCACACCGATGTGCCCCCTTCCCCTCACATGCAAGATGACAGTTTGAGTCCTAGGCCCTCAGATTCACAAACCATACTACAAATCAATATATTCTTATAATATATTCTTGTAAAACTGCTTGTTTAGCTAGGCAAAAGTGCCCTACTGATTTCAAACAAAATTCTAGTTCAGGGAAAGAATTTGGAATGATCCTTAGCATTTATTGTGATAGAATTTGACCTTTAATTTTTACCCTGAGTAAGGTGTTCATGGCAAACCTGAGCCCAGATTTAAAAGCATCCATTAGCCATCTGGTGACCAATCTCATTTATTCAAGCTAAGCTGGAAAATGAACTTTGGCCTTTTTTTTTTTTTGCATAATTTGAGAAAACTGCTTGATTTTTAAAGCTTTTTGCTTAATTTGTAAAGTTAAAATGGAAATTTCATTCAGGTAATTTTAGTAATTCTTCATCTTTATTTTATATTTAATGCCCATCGGCCTTTATTTGGTTTGTTCTATCACACATATGATTGCATTTTATGTGGTCAGCCCCCACAGCTAAATTATTTTGCCATTTACATTCCAGGATAGCCTGAAATGCCAGTATCACAACTGTAGCCCACAATATAATTTAGAGCCATCTTAGTGTAACTAAAACATTCATATTTTTCTTTGGCTAATGTGGATTGGAAACCACATGTACTATTCACAGACTTCTGATTAGTAAATTATTACTTTAATTATTCAAAAAAATAAAAAGTCATTACTGATATTATGAATCGCTTTACCAAAAAGACCTAAGGAATTCTTGGAAATCAATATCCTTAAGGTTGACCTCACTACCCTAGTTCTTCTTAGACTTTTCGCCCTGTACCACCACATATGGATGATGGAGTAGGATGCTGTACATGGGAATATAGGGGACTGAGTATCAGATCAAGGCAGCTTATGTTGGGAAAGTTCTTTTTCCTCCCATCATTACTAAAACCTGTACTTTCTACTCTACAGAATCACTGTTTCATTTTCAGTCTTGCTCAGCAACATAAAACCAAACACCCAGGTTTATAGAACACTAGACTCTAAAACTGTGAGGCCCCTAAAGTTTTCTTTTCAATTCCTCAGTAATGTTAGAGTTTTATATGGGCTTTAGAAAAGGTAAAGAAAAAGGGAAGAAAAAGAAAAGAAAAGAAAGATAAAGTAGTTTGAGTTGCAGCCTTATTCTTTTAAGCCGCCTTATTCTTTTAAGCCGCAACTGAAGCTTATGTTTTATACTTTTTTTTTATACTTTTTTTTTATACTTTTTTTTTTTGGCCTTTGTACCATCAGCTTATAAAGACATACGAGTTTGTCTTTTATTTTATTTGGATTCAAATATATGCCAAAACTCTATTAACAGAGAAAGATGTTTTAAGTATAGGTTTTTCTGCTTCTCTTAGAGTCAGTTGGCCACTGGGGAATAAAAGCAATTCTTTCAAGGTAACTCAGTGACTCGGGAAACTGCTTATCTGTAATCATCCCCTCTCCAAACCCTAGAAATTGTTAGGGAGTATCAGAAATGCATGGCAGCCATGGCTTTCTGGTTGAATTTTGCCAAGTGAAATCACAAATACTAACATATGAAAATAAACACAATTAGTAACATATCAGTAAAATAATAATACTAGCAATAATGATAGCTAACTCATACATAGCACTTTGTACCAGGAATAGTTCTAAGCACTTATATTAACTCATTTTATCCTCACAGTAACTTATGACATAGGTACCATATAATAAAATCTCCCATCTGCCTTTTTGAATTTTAAGCATTTACTAATAATGGAATTCTTCCTTTGTGTTTATTCAGTTGCTAACTTCCTTGTTTCCAAGACAATGTGCTTCATTCCAACAGCTTCTGGTATTTCATTTTGTCTATATTTAAAGCATTGAATAGTTATTTTTGTTTCTTTGTAAGAAACTTGGACCGTTCACGTGTGTCCAAAAATTGAATTAATGTAAAATTCCCTATTCTTAAGATTATAGTAAGTCAGATGTATGGTGGCAGCTCTATCGTAATTTCTATACTCAGATGTTAGAAGCTTTGAGGTTAATAACTTATTTATTTACTCTTTTACTTGGCTAACCTCACCTCTTGCTCATATTCATGGCTCTTACAAAAGCCTCAGGTTTTTAGCAGCTCAGTCTGAAGTATAGATCCATCTCTACCATCAATGATGAGCCTGGTATATCTTCTTTTAAAAAAAAAAATACTGTGTTATGATTCTGTTAGCATTTATTTTTACATTTTTTTATTATTGAAAATTTCAAACAAACAAAAACAGTAGAGACAGCAGTATAATGAAATTCCGGCTTCAGTACTTATCAACATACCCGCCATCTTGCTTTATCCATATTCCACATACTACTAGATTATTTTCAAGCAGATCTCCAAAATATTTCATCACCCTGGTGGTTCTTAACAGAAGAACTGTTAACAAAATCCTTGATCCCTGTGGGTGTTTTCAAGAAAATTTTGATGACGTCTTTTAAATGTAGTACATTTAAATTGTCATAGTTTATAGATGACTACTGGTCTTAAGTGATTTTAATTTAACTTTATTCTCATTTGCTAGCTTACTTGAGTTTATCTTTTGAAGTAGATGTGAGAGAATGCTGTTCAACTGGAGTATGTACTAACATTTAATTTCAATTAACTTTTTTATAAAGAACAGAAATATATTTTCCAAAGTATATAAAAGATACAGTATCATCTTATATCATTGTTATAGGTAGCCAGATGGTATCTACATAGCCGAAGTCTGAGTTACCTGACTTTTGTATTTAAATAAGTAACTGTTTTATAGCCTTGTTTTGTTCCTTCTTCTACACTCAAACTCCCAAATTAATTTTAGCTACTCTTCTCAGCCAAAGGAAGAGAAAACTCTAGTTCGAGTTCCCTCATAAAAAGGACAGAGGAGTATACTTGTCAACTTCTACTCGCTTCAGAAACCCTACCACCACTGTCAGAGGATTTTTCAACCCCTTTTCTGAGGACCAATCATTCAGACTTTAAAGAGTACGCCAGCTCTAGAGTGGGGAAGAGGGAACAAGGCTGTCTAAGCGCCCCCCCCACCCTCTAATCACTCACCTCCTTATTTCAAACTGGGCCATTGATCACAATTTCAGTCAGACGACAATATTTCAACAGTTTCATGGCATTTATTTTAATGGGCTTTGACAAACAGAAGTGACAATTGTGTGGAATTCTGCCTATTAGAAAAAGAAAATGGAACACCTTCTGATTTTAAGAGCTATCCCTAACATGGAGACTTTTTCCACTCCCCATCTACAAGTACAAAGCCTCACATTAGCCAGAATGAAGTCTCTAATGCTAACCCTTGGCCAAATTGTAATGATTCATATATACTGTGATGCAAGTTGTGATTTCATTTGGCTTTAAATTGTTGTGGACTTCATTCTTCATCTTCCTCCCTTAGAAGGTGACAGGTTTCTGCTGATTAAAGTAATGGCATTGCTTAAAACTCCTAGCACCAGGATGCTTGCTTAAACTCACCAATCAGTCGGCTTCCTAATATTAAATAGGGAATGAGACCCTACTCCACCTCCATCTTTCTGTCCCCACTTGCCTTCCCAACCCCAAGCCCAAAGCATTCCTTTGCATTTCTTTCTTTCTGATTCCTGGTCTCAGACTTACCCCTTTTCCCAGGAGCCTTCTAGTTCTTTTTTCTCATAACCTTTCTTATAAGTCCTTTATCTTTTGAACAACCCATAATTTTTTCTGTCTGACTTTAGTCAATTTATCTTGTAGCTTAGTTGTCTCTAAAAGAGGGATAAAAGTAACTAAACTAAAAGCAATATATAAGTGATTTGGTTACTTTGTAGTAGAACTTATGATAATAGTATATTTTTCCTAAATACTGAAACTGATATACAGTGACCAAAATATTTTATTAATAACTTTGCATAGCTTCACAATTACTGTTAATCCCAAATTTTAAAACAAAAATATTAAAAATATTTCTTTAAAATTTTTAATCTTTAAATTTTCTTTTAGTCCTTTCTAAGTCAAACTACTCTCTAGTCTCTTTAGCTAAGGTAGAAACAGGAATCGTGAACATTCTACTTTTCAATTATTAAAAATATAACTTATGTAACAACAAGAATATTTACTGATGCAAACATCTCATATAATGAGCAACAACAAAAAAATTACATTTGTCCTCTTCTTCCTTAGAAAATGAACCTTTAGAATCAGATTTCTGTTCTTTGCTCTGAGAATTTCATTGATATTGAAACAGTATTAAATAACAATATTAAATAACAATGAATGTTAACTTATCACTGAAAATAACTATGTCATTTTCCTATCCTCCTCTTCAGATGAATCCAAGGCAGTGGAGCCATATCTCTGAAAGTGCCAAAGACCTAGTGCGTCGCATGCTGATGCTGGATCCAGCTGAAAGGATCACTGTTTATGAAGCGCTGAATCACCCTTGGCTTAAGGTACATGAGCTCATAGGTAGCCTCCTACACTTTGTTTGAACACTTCAGTGACCAGAATGTATTGCTCTCTAAGGAGGCCCTTTCCACATTATCATTTTTCTGGGCATTTTTCATTACAGTTTTGTTCATCCAGTTGACTCTTTCTGCACATCCTCTGTAAATATATCTGAGTTGAGGGTATGCCATTTGAGTGACATTCTATGAGACAGAGGGTGCAAAAGTGGATTGAGACAGAATATGTCAGGGAGGAAGGCCCGTTTGTTCTCTACCAACACATGTGCCAAAGATGTTCAACGTGAATAATTGAAATAGTACTGTGTTACAATAAATTATCTTTATTTGGGGTGTGACCATGTGCTTTAAAGCATTCTTATTTCACAGATACAGATATGGATTTATTGTCTTAGGAAAAAGGCAGATTTTAAAAAATTATTTTTATATCCTATCTTGCCGGTGAGTATTAAGGAAAATCACAAGTTGGGACTTCAATTAAACAGTATTGTTTGATGGCAACATTATGCAGTTCAATAATTTCAGGAAATTCCCACTTTACAGATGAGAAAACTAAGTCTCTGAAAGGTTAAGAATCTTGCCACAAGTCACAGAAGTTGGCAATGGTGAAACCATGATTTTAATTCTGCCTATACATGAGATCCTGCCCCTTTTACTTACTTAAGGATATCACTCCAGCTGTTTTCTCCTTTCATGCATGATCAGTTTCCTATCTCTGTTGGATCTAAGATAATACGCTTTGTTTTTATTATACACACACACACACACACACACACACACACACACATCTCCTGACCCTACAACTCTCTCCAGCTTCTATCACTGTTTTCTGCTCCCCTTGATAGCAAAAGTCTTATAGAGTTGTCTGTACTCACTTTCTCCAGTTTCTCCCATCCCTTCTTCTTAAAACACTCTAATGGATTGCAATCCTACCAACTCCACTGACATTAGTCAAGTCACTAATGACCTTCACACTACTCAAGTCCAGTAGTCAAATCTCAGGTCTTTTCCCTCTTGGCATCTCAACAACAGTAGACATTTATCCTCCTGAAACACTGTCTTCTCTTGGCTTCAGGACACCTCACTCCCCTAGTTTCCCTGCTGCCTCCGTGCCTGCTCCTTCTCAGATTGTGCTGATTCTTCCTCATCTTTCCCACCTCTTCGCATTGCAGTGCCGTAGGCCTCCATTCTTACTCCTCTTTTTCTCTACACTCAGGCCCTTGGAGACCTCATCTAGTTTTAATGGCTTTAAATGCTGTCTGTACACCAATGACTCCTGAATTTATACCTTCAGGCCAGGCCTCTTCCTGATATAGTTGTTCTTAATCTAATATATAGTTTTGCTCCTTCATACCTCTCTGATTTTACCCTTACTGTCCTCTTCTCTCACTCTGTTCCCCTCATATTGGCCTCCTTGCTGTTCCTCTGGCAGTAGGCACATTCTTGCCTCGGCACTCCTGTGTTAGTCAAGCCCTTTCCCTAGAACACTCTTCCTCCAGATATCGTCACAGCTTCTTCCCTCACCATCTTCAGATATTTGCTTAAATATGAACTTCTTAGTAAGCTCTTTCCTGAGAACCCAATTTAAAATTTGAGAGAAAGAATGACCCTCTTCCACCAGTATTCCCTGTCTCCCTCCCCTGCCTTAGTTTTCTGTATAGCATTTGTCACCATAAGGCAGACTTATATTTTACTTGTTTGTTGTCATATTTATCTCCATAAAATATAAGCTGCATAAGGATGGGGATTTGAGGCTGTTGATTCATTTCTGTCTAGCACCCTAGAAAGTATCGAGTATGTAGTAGGTGCTCAATAAATATTTTTGAGCATGTATTAATGCTTTAATACATGATGTATCAATCATGTATTAATAATTTAATACACGAATGAATGGAGGTTCATTATATTATATCATGCTACATCCCAAGAGATTATGCAAAATAATAAAATATATTAAAACATGGATTAATAATGTATCTTAGTAGCATTGACATGAATAATAATATTACAGAACAATTTTGACATGCCAGTGGATCTTGTTATCCTTAAGAATATTACTTCTCAAACTCTCTGATACTCAGTTTTAGGTACTGTTGACTTGAGATATCCAGTTCTAGTTATTCTTGATTTCTCCCAGAAAAGAGTAGGTACCGTTCTTAGATACTTTCTTAGTACAGGCATACCTTGTTTTATGGCTCTTTGCCTTATTGTACTTCACAGATACTGCATTTTTTTAGAAATTGAAGGTAAGACCTTCCACCAGCAAAAAGATTATGACTTGCTAAAAGCTCAGATGATGGTTAGCATTTTTTTAGCAATGAAGTATTTTTAATTAGGGTATATACATTGGTTTTTTTTTACACATAATGCTGTTATTGCACACTTAATAGACTACTACAGTATAGTGTAAATATAACTTTTATATCCACCAGGAAGCCAAAAAATTCATGTGACTTGCTTTATTCTGGTGGTCTGAAACCGAACCCACAATATCTCTGAGGTATACCTATATTTCCTTCTCCCAGAAATGAACAGTGTAAGGGATATTCCTATTTCTCCTTTGCCTTCCTCATTTCTCCATAATGGGGATCTTTTGTCCATTAAAAGCTAATTTAAATGCCAAATAATAATGACAGTTGTATTAGTTATTGTTAAGACCATTTAGAAAATTTGGCTTTCGTTATCATGCTTATCTTGGCTTATAACATATTTATTTTTGGAAACCCTTGTCCCTGTGATGATTATAGTTCTCGTTCTCAGTAATCTGAGATCAATACATAATATAGATTTCTGGCACCAGAATAACTTAAATGAAAAAGGTCCAGAAGGCTGTTTGAGCTCAGTGTCATGCACCATGTTTGAACTACAATTTACCTTCATTGCTTATGCATCATCTGAAGATGGAAGAATTCGATGAGAATATTATATAGCTGATGAGAACAGACTTGCTATATTTAAATACTTGTCCATATATATTTGTAAATCATTGCTCTGGATGTGGTGGTATTAATTTAGTAATAGTTAAAATTTAAGCTCTGGTTTAGATATGAAAAACTCCTGAATAACTGCAAAGTGAAGAAATATGATGAAAATCCTTATGATGAAAATTCTTGTAATGAAGAGTGCCCAAAGTCATAATACCATTGCTTTGCGTCCAAAAAAAAAAACGTACAAAAAAACAAGAATTATTTCTTTGGTGAAAAAAAAAATGATGTCCTATTCAGTCATTTCATATCAAAAAAGAATTTGAGTAAATAGACCAAGTAATATGTGAATGTCTTATGATTGTTAAATCATACCTGTGTTAATGTCCTTATCTGTTTAAATTAGTGATGCCTATTGTGAGTATTCATTCCAAGAAAAGTAAGACCAACTAAAATTTTACTTTCCTCATAGATAATTGAGCTCTGTTTATACCTTTCTAGCCTTAATATGTAGACCCTAAAGTATATTACTGTACTAAAACACAAAAAGGGTATTTCTGTCAGGCTAATCAGTTTGAACTTTGGAAAAATTAATCAACAAACCAATTAAATGTGTATTCAGCAGCTACTGCATACAGGGACAATGAATCAAGTACTTCATTAAAGTGCAAGGCACATGCTATAGAAATTTTTCTAAAGTTATATGACATTACTATTACGTTCAGGTAGGACTAGTTAGTCCAGAAAAATTTGTTTTTATTCTTTTGTCTCATTTATATTGCCTTAGGGTTCTGTTATTGTTTACTTACTTTCTGGTAAGAGATACCTTAATAAACTTTTTTTTTTAATCTCATGATTTTATCTGCTTAGAAAATATCAAAAATCATAATTTAGGCATAATTTTACAAACAAACATTTTTTGACTGTGTCCTTATCTCTCTCTCCACTTAACTTTAGTGAATGGTGAGCAGAAAAGGTGTTCAATAGAAATAGAGTTCACAGTCTGCTATGTACTAAACTTCCCAATCTATGAGAGAAAGGCATAGTCAAGCTGTGAAATGGATTTTCAAATGATACTAATGTAACAAAAACACAGAAAGATAACCTCAAAGAGCCATACATGAGAAGCACCACACAAGAATACAGAAGTACCAGCTCAGGAAGACTAATGAGGAATATGCGAGATCACTGTAGACTGGAGCTGCAGGGAAGGCTGCACGTGTTAGTGGGACTGAAGCAGTGGCGGGGGAGAGGGGGGAGCAGCTACCCTCCACATCGGAAGTACAGGGGAGCAGAGGCAAAGCATTAGAAAATGTCCAGGGCATGTGGGGGTGGAGACAGAAAGTAAACTAGTATAATACAGGATTTCCCAGGTATTTTGAGGGATACGTTCCAAGACCCCCAGTGGATGCCTAAAACAGCAGATAGTACCAAATCCTAGATATACTATGTTTTTACTTATACATACATACCTATACTAAAGTTTAATTTGTAAATTAAGCACAGTAAGAGATTAAAAACAATAACTAATAATAAAATAGAACAGTTTATCTGATAACCAAGATAGCTACTAATTGATTAATTAGCAGGGAGCCATATACAGGTGTGGATGCCCTGAACAAAGGGATGATTCACATCCGGATGGAACAGAGTGGGACAGTATGAGATTTCATCACACTACTCAGAACAGCGCACAATTTAAAATGTATAAATTGATTATTTCTGGAATTTTTCATTTAATATTTTCAGACTATGGTTGACTGTGGATAACTGAAACCATGGAAAGTGGAACCGTGGATAAGGGAGACTACTGTATAAACATTCAGTTCTTTGAAGGATTGTACCAGTAGTAGACTGGAAATTTTGGTTTGAGGGAAGAATATATGCATCCTAGAATGCCAAATTAAGTTCTTTGGATATCAGAATGTAGAGAGTAAAAAGTTACTGCAAGGTTTTGAACAATGATAGCGTGCAAGCAGCATGTTCATTTAATTCCTTTGTACACTGTGTGCAGATGGGTTGCCTGTTGGATGCAAGCCGTAGAGGCAAAGAAATCCTGTAGAAGCTATGGCTGTCCAGTCAGGTGACAGGGGCCTGACCAGGGAGTAAAAGTGGGAGTGGAAAAGAAATACCCAGACCAAGAGTTTTTAAGGAAGGAAAAACTGCCTTGATGGGGCTCAGTGAGTGATTCAAGGTAGTTAGAATTAGGAAACCCATAGAAAGGTTAAACATGTAGAGTGGAAGATATGTGTTTTAAACTTTTTATTTTGAAATAATTAGACTCACATAGAAGTGGCAAAAATAGTACAGAGTTCCTGTGTACTCTTCACCACTCTTCCCCCCAATGATAACATATAACCATAACAATTATCAAAACCAGGAAGTCAACATTGGAGCAGTACTATTAACCACAGGCCTTATTTGAATTTTACCAGTTTTTACATGTATTTTGTGTGCGTATATAGTTCTGTGAAATTTTATCACATGTATAGAATTGAATAACCACCACTATAATCCAGATATAGAACTGTTCTGTCACCCATCATGCTACTCCTTAATAATCATATCTTCCTTCCAACCCTAACCCCTACTAACTACCAATCCATTGTTCATCACTATATTTTTTATCCTTTTGAGAGTGTAATATAAATGGAATTATATAGCATATAACTTTAGTAAAAACACTTCTGTGTGTTTCTCCTTTACTCTCATACTATTACCACACTCGCAACACTTCTGATACCAAATGTGTGGGTTTTTTTAATTCTCCAGCACCAATTGGTGTTCTACAATTTAGTTCAATTCTGACACTACCTGGAGTTAATGCAGACTCCACAGATTAAGGGCTCAGTCCCATGAGACTATCACCTACTTCAGATGCCATTGGCAAGTAGTAGGTCCCCAGGTTACTCACTACTTTTATCCAACTTGGCTATGAATTGGAGATTTCCATGACCCCCCTTTCCTTGGATTTGATGATTTGCTAGAACAGCTCACAGAACTGAGGGAAACACTTTATGTTAATTAAAGATCACTAAGCATAGCATAATTAAAATTTATAATCCATAATCATAACAGCAAACTATTAAAAGATTCCATTGCTTGGTCTGAAATAGTAATTTTATCCTTTTCTCTGTTAGTTAATTATTTGATAAATTCTTATATCTTCTGTATGGGTGAACCTGTTTTGGCTCAGTGCAGGGAAAGGAGGTTAAGTCCCTAAAGATAATGAAATCATTTCCAAGATGTTTAGCATATAGAATCCAGCAGAGATGAAACTTGTAGTCATTTTGACATCGTGTTGTATGTGAACTCAAGAAAAATATAATTTTGCTCTCCAGTAGACTTCTTGTTACTTTTAATCACTAATATAGAAAATAAATGTTGAAGTGTTTGTGTTCATTTCTCAGGAATTTTCACTGATAATGTGAAATTTTGACAAGGCTAACTATAAATTCTACATTTACATTCAAAAATAAATTTGTAAGTACATGATACCAAAACAATGATTTTAGAAGTGGCTCATATCTGAACAAGAATTTTAGTTACAAAATAATAAGAGTATCACCTTGAACTTAATTTACAAATAGTATAGAATATAGGTTGAGGAAAGTAAGAGGCCCATTTTACTCTAATTAATCTTCATTTAGTATAATTCATCTCGTTTTTTTCAGCTATATAGTAGGATAAAAATGATGTGTGTCTCACAGGATTGTTGTGAGGAATAAGTAATATAAGCACATAAAGCACTGCAACAGTGCCTGGCACATAATGAGCCCTCAGTAAATACTAGCTGTGATGATGATAATTACGTCCAGTTTGAACCATAACTTTTGAGATAACTAATGTGTAGCATTATTCTACTATCTTGTATAGTTGTTTTAAAGAATAAGTGGAATAATGCCTGTGAAAATCCTAAATTCAGTGCCTGGTGCACAGTTAAGTGCTAACTTAATACATAATACCTTCTAAATGTTTATGACCCCTCAAAAATTTTTTCCCAGCACAGACTTCTCTCCTGAACTTCACGCTTATTTGTCCAAGTACCTACTTGAGTCTCCACTTGAACTTTAGGTATCTCAAGTATAACATTTCTAAAACTAAAGTCCTGATCTCTTCCCCATCTTACCATCTTCTCCCTAAAAACCTATTCTGTCTGCAGTCTTCCCCATCTCAATTGGTGTCAGACTTCCAGTTGTGCTCACACTGAAAACCTTGGTGTTGCCCTTGACTCCTCTCTTTCTCTCACACCCTCCATCCAGTCTGTCAGGGAATCCTGTTCTCTCTACCTTCAGAATATATTCAGTCATAAGAACTTCTGTTCTTGGAAAGACACTGTAAGAGAATGAAAAGACAAGCCACAAACTGGGGGGTAAATATTTACAAATTATATACCTAATAAAGGACTTATGTCCAGAATATATAAAAAAATTTTTAAACTAAGAAAACATACAACTCAATTCAAAAAAGTGAAAAGATTTCAACAGACAGTTCAACAAAGAAGATAAATGGATGGCAAATAAGCTCACACACAGTTGCTCAACACCCTTAGTCATTAGGGAAATACAGGTTAATACCACAATGAGACATCTATACACACATGTATCAGAATGGCTAAAATCAAAAAGACTAATCACATATTAATGTTCATGGCAGCTTTATCTATAATGCATATTAATGTTCATGGCAGCTTTATCTATAATGGCCAAAAATTGGAACCAACTCAGGGCTCATCAACAGATGAAAGGATAAACAAATTATGGTATATCCTTACAACAGTACCACTCAGCAATAAAAAAGAATGAATTATCGATACACACAACAACATGGATGAGGTTCAGAATCTTTAAACTGAGTGAAAGAAGCTGAATAGTAATGAATACATACTGTATGATTCCATTTATATAAAAATTCTGGAAAATGCAAATTCATCTATAATGATAGAAAGTAGATCAGTGGTTACCTGGGAACAGGGAACAGGATGACAAAGGGACATGAGGAAACTTTTGAGAGTGATGGATAAATTCATTATCTTAATTGTGATGATTGTTTTATGGTTGTATACATATGTCAAAACTTATCAAATTATACATTTTAAACATGCACAGTTTTTCATATGCTAAATATACCTCAGTAAAACTTTTTGGGGAAAACAAAGTGTATTCAGAGTCTATCTCCTTTTTACCTTTTTTATTGTTTCCATCTTATTTCATCCACCATCATCTCTCCCCTTGATTACTGCAATAGCCTCCTAACTGGTCTCCCTGCTTTTTTCTTTACAAAATTTGTCAGGTCATGTCACTACAGCTTGAAACCCTCCAGAATAAAAGCCAAAGGCCTTTTATGGCCTACCCCAGCCTTGTCACCTCTGATCTGACCTATGATTTACTCCACACACAGGTCTCATTGCTAATCTCTAAAATTACAGGCACACCCCCTCCTTTGGGCCTTTGCATTAGTTGGTCTCTCTGCCTAGACCACTCCCTCACTTCTTTTGGAAGTTTTTTTCAAGTGAGTCTACTTTGACCACCCTATTTTAAGTTGCAGTGTACCAATCCCTCCTACTTTGCTTTACTATTTGCTTTATTCCATAGCACTTTTAACATACTCTATGATTTACCTTTTTTGGATTTTCTTGTCTTCTCTCACTGGAATATGAGCTACATGAGGGCCTGAATCTTTGTCAGTTTACTTATGTATCCCAAGTACAAAGAACAATGTCTGGCACATAGTAGGCTCTCAGGAAATAGTTCTGAAATGAATACTTATAGCATATAAATATTTTAAGATACATTGACAAATTCGAGTAGAACCAAAGAGGGAGATAAGAAGAATGACAAAAGAGCTTTGAAATATATATGAGGAATAGTTATGCAACTGGAGACATTATCACAAAGAAGAATAGATTCAGTGGAAGCAAGATCTTCCTCTTAACTGCTGAAGAGTTATTATATAGAAGAGGTAATATGTTTATTCTGAGATGCCCCTGATGATAGAGCTAGGCCAAACAAGCCAAATATGGACCCAGGCTGAGTAAGAATTTTTTCGCTTTCTCAAAATTGTAATGGGCTGCCATAAAATAGTCATCTCCTACTGGGCAAGGTCAAACAGAATGATCATCTATCAGGGATTGAAGGGGATCTCACATAGAGAAATGGTTGAATTAGATCGCCTTGAAGTTTGTTCTATCTCAAAGATACTGTGATTTTTTTTTTTAAATCCAGTATTCCCTACAACTCAGAACACTGAATAAGTTGTGGAGTTAATTTTTCAAATGCTCATTTTACCTGACAAGATCATGTCAAAGGTAACTTCATACCTTCATCATATTATGATTACTTATTTTAGCCATATGTCTGAAAAGCACATGACCCATTATTTCAGCCCTTTCTTGTTGCTGAAAATAAAATATTATTTTACTATTAGTTTGACCTTCATATGCCTCATTTGAGAATGTTTACTGGTATCACGGAATCAAATCTCCAGTCTCCTAGAAGTCAATCTAAATTTCACATTTAAGAATTTGGACTTTGTTGTTTTAGGTTAAGCTTCTTCACTTTTTGAAAGTTATAGGTTTCATTTTCTTTCTTCTTTTATAGGAGCGGGATCGTTATGCCTACAAGATTCATCTTCCAGAAACAGTAGAGCAACTGAGGAAATTCAATGCAAGGAGGAAATTAAAGGTAAATTAAAGAAATTATCAAAAAGCCAGATACATTGATGATGATGTTTTTATTCTGTTTCAGGGCCCATAAATATATTCTAGTGTTGGCCATTATTTTTCATATAGCTAAATTCTCACTTCCAAAAATTACCACCATTTCAATAAGATTTTGATTTTTTAAATCATGTAAGGTAATATCTAAGTGTGAATCTAAATAATAAGTTATAATAAATGGAAGGTTAATCATATTTTAGACTCGTATTATTTTTAAAATTCATAGCAAAGATAAAATTACTTTAAAAACAATAATTTACTATTCATTTTCTTAAACAAATATTTTGACAAAAATGTCAGTTTCAGTCACTGGAAACAACACCAAATTAGAATTGAAACTAGGATTGAACAACCATCACAAAACAGTAAAGATCCCCACTACCTTGGTCTACTAGAAGATATTTTCAAATTACTTTTCTCACCTTTTCTTTATTCTTCTTAAGTACCTTTCTCCTTTTACTACCCTTCTTATCTTCCACCCCACTAAAAAAAATGATAATTACCTAATATGGGAAGCCCATTTGACTTTAAAAGTTTTTTTTAAAGACCTAACATAAAATAATGGAGTCTTTTTAGCATTAGGCAAATATTTTATGGGACAGCATTTCTCCCTCCCCACAATAAAGGAAACTATTATATTATGGTCTTAAAATTAACTTATATTTGGCTTGCTTTTCATTACTATAAAAACATTTATCTCTATCTTCTAAGTCAAGGGTTTCGACCCCCAGGCCATAGACTAATACTGGTCCTTGGCCTGTTAGGAACTGGGCCGCACAGCAGGAAGTGGGTGGTGGGCAAGCAAGCGATGCTTCATCTGTCTTTGCAGCCGCTCCCCAGTGCTAGCATCACTGCCTCAGCTCCACCTCAGATCATCAGGCATGGGATTCTCATATGAGCACCCGTCCCTGGTGCCAAAAAGTTTGGGGACCACAGTGGTTGGTTGGATAGTAGTCCTCCTTAGCCACATGACTCCTGCCAACTGTAAAACTTTTTTTGTAAGTATTTGCAGATATGTCACAATTTGCAATAATATTATAACAACATTTATATGAAGTTTGGGGAAACTCTGTAGGCCACAATATTATCCTATAGAGCCAAACTGTCCAACAAGGTAGCCACAGCCTACATGTAGCAATTTAAATTTAAATTAATTAAAATTCCATAAAATTAAAGGTCAGTTCTTCAGTCACACTAGCAAATTCAAGTGCTCAATAACCAACCATATGTGGCTCGTGGCTACTCTATTGGACAATGCAGATAGAGGACTTTCATCATTGCAAAAAGTTCTCTTGGACAGTGCTGCTACAGAGCAAGGGAAATTTTAACATCATTGTTGGTGATGGTTATTCCATTGTTTTTACAGCAAGGGTTCAAACTGGCTCTTCTCTCTTTGCTTTAAAAGCCCTTGGCAAAAATAATTATTAAGATGATGTCCAAAGAAGTTTCCCAAGACTTTTATTTCTTTTATTAGATATATACCTGAACCAGTACAGACTACAAAAGAAAAAAAATCTTATTATCCAAAGTGAATTTTGGTCAGCTGTTTTTAAGTTAGTTCACCACCACCACCACCAAAGAAACCATGAATTCTTTCTCAGTTCTTCCCTAAAGTCTTCTTAACTCTAATACTGCTTTGGACTATGTGACGTTACTTTGTCTGGGGTTGAACCTTTCATTGCCCAAATATAGGCCTTTTACCATAGGGTTTAGGTTTGCCCTGTCACAAGAATCACATGCTGTATTTCTCCCGGTGCCACAAAATCAGACTTGGGCCTAAAATAGCCAAAATGGTGACTAAGATTCTCTTAGATAGGACCAAGCTGTCACAGCAGAAAGGGGTCATGTGAATTTACCACATCCCTTTGCAGGGATATTTAAAGTTTCGAAGCCTACCAAACAGCCTAGAATTAGGAACATCAGCAGGGTTATTGAGTTTTTCAGCTTCTACTACAGCTGTATTCTTTTGAGTGATTCAGTCACTCTTGATAAAGCATGTCACACCTACCTTCCTCAAGGAACTAATTCTCATTCTGCTTTTTCTGTAAGCTGCTAGAACAGAGATTGCAATTTCCCTGGTTTCCAGAGCCCACCATACAACTTATTTTCACAAATGAACAGCTAGGTATCCATCATTCTACCCAGACACTACTTTTAAGCTTCGCAAACAGTGGGCAGCAACTGAATTTCTGATGCCCTTAGAAGCAAGTAAAAGGGAAGTTCACAGAAAACATAGAAAATTGCTTTTGTTACTTAGTTAGAGGTTGGAAATTTTTATTGTTGGTGGCAAGAAGAAAGAGGAATAC